TAATATCACTTATTAAAAGAGATGATTTACAAATGAAAGAAATTGAAATATGGGAACATGTATTAAAATGGGGACTTGCACAAAATCAAACTCTCATTTCAGATCCAGAAACTTGGACAGATGATAACTTTAAAATGATGGAAAATACTTTACAAGTTTTTTTACCTTTAATTAGATTTTTTAGTTTATCATCTAAAGAATTTTTATACAAAGTGAGTCCATATAAAAAAATATTAAACCATCAGCTCTACAAAGATTTATTAAATTCTCATATGGATCCTGATATTGAACCAAATAACAACATTCCACTTCCCAGAAACTTAAAAATAAGTAACGTTATTGAATCAAATATCGTTAATTTAAATATAATTTCGACTATTTCAAGATGGATTGATAAAATTGATTGTAATAATAAATTTTCACTTCTGAGAGAATTATATTTACAATACAAATTTAAATTATTATTAAGAGGTAGTCGAGATGGATTTACTCCTAGAAAATTTCATGAATTGTGTGATAATAAATCTAATACTGTTACATTTATTAAAGTTAAAGGAACTGATGAGATTCTAGGTGGATATAATCCTTTAGTATGGAATTCTTCTAGTGGTTGGGGTCAATCTTTAGATAGTTTTATATTTTCTTTTAAGAATAGAGATGAGATTAAAGATTTAATATTAAGCTATATAAGCAATATGAATCGTGCAATAAATTATTATAAAACTCATGGTCCTTCATTTGGTTATGATGATCTTAAAATATCATATAATGGTTGGTCTAATGATGTGGATCCATTTAATTATAAAAAATGTAAACAAACAGATTACGAGAAAAGGATAAGAGATACCGAAGAGTTTTTTGATATAGAAGATTACGAGGTATTTCAAATCATGAAAAAATAAGAAAATGAAATATTATGTATTAAATATTACTGTTATTTGATTTACGTAATAAACTTTTGATCTTTCATTTCTTGCTTATACAATAATAATTTTTATCTTAAAAAATAATAAAAGTCATACAAAAAAGTGTTTTGCTATTGTCCTTGAAACATCTTACTACTGAGAGTAACTACTCTAGTCTTAATGTTTAAGATGTTTAAGATAATTCAAAAAAAAAAGTAAAGAGAATGAACTTTAAAATATAGTAAAAAGATTTGGTAATATAGTTATTTTTAAAATCAAATAATATTTATCATTTAATAAATCCTTCATTGTCTACTATTGAAGATTATAAATTGTTACTTATTTCATTTTCATATATATAAAAAAAATTTATTATTATAAGCATATATTTCATATTTTGAAATTAGTAGTTTGCAATTATTAAAAATTGTAAATTGTAGTAAAAACTCATATAAACAAACACCGTTTAATTATAAACTACATAAGTTCATTAGTTAGCTATCAGAGTTTAATTGAAGCATATATTAAAATGTGCTAAATACACTTGAATACTTTTAATTATCACACCGGTATTATGTATATACCGATTGGATTTTTTTATAAATTACTCCACCGGTATAAAAAAAGAAGTATAAAAAAGTATAAAATCAATCAGTGTATACGTCATACACAATGAGATATACAGTTCTCGAAAAAAGTAATCAGAATTACAAAAAATGCAAACCAGTGCTTCAAAATTTCCAAATTTGTTGATAAATGTGTAAATATTACGTGTATAAAATTTCAGCTCTTTATCTTGTTTCCTTGTCTCAATCTATTTTTTTTTTAATTCGAAAAAAAAACCGTTAAAAATTTAAGCAAAGATTCGTTGGACTATTATCTTAATATTAGTTGAAAGAACTAAAATTCAAAATTAGATTTAAAACATAATAATTATAAAGTATTATAATAAAAATCTACTTAATACTAGATTTAATTTATTTGAAAAGAATGTCAAACTAAATAAGCTTAATGCTTTTAAAATTGGTTTTTTTAAATGATTTTTGAATCAACTTTAATTACAATTTACCGAAAAACTAACTAATTAAATGACAAAACAATTATTAATAAATTAATAAAAGCTTATAATATTTTTTTTAGTTATTTTTTCAAATTAAAAGATCGATTGTGAGACATAGAAATAAGATAAAAGGCTAATATTTTGTATGTACAATCTTTGCACACTTAGCAACAAATCCGCAAAATTTGAAGTAGCTTGGCTCGAGACGGACGATTTTTGGATTTAAATATAGAATTTGCGAAATGATCAGCTGATGATCACATGCTTTTTGCTTAGTTTCAGAGTTTGAGAGCGGCTCGGCTCAATATGCGAGCTGGCTCGAGCTGGCTCGGCTCGTACGGAGCACTAACTGAAATTAAATGATTAAATTTAAATAATAGTCAATGTTTATTTCCGTATTAAAATTTATGTCATAAATTTTAAAATAATAACATATTAATTTACAGCAACAAGCTATAGTACAATACATACCAAGATGTAAGAAGTAGCAACATTAGAAAAAGAAAGAAATTTAACTAAAAGAGATTTAAAGAAAAGGAAAGATTTTGAAAGGGAGTAGAAGAAATGGAAGATAAAAAAAGTAGAAAAGCGGGAAAAACAAAAGAAAATAATAATAATATAGAAAAATAAATAAAAAAATTAAATTAGTAACAAAAGATAAAATGATACATGAAGTTACTGAAGGAAATTCTATAGGAAATAATTGAATTATATTTTAAATTAGATTATATAATTATTTTAGATATTGTAGTATAGTATAAACTTAGATAGAGAATATTATAATGTATTTTATTTTATTTTCTAGGTGTTAAATAATTATGTAATCAAATTTTAAAATTGTTCTTAATTAATAAACGCGTTACTATTTTTTTTTTTTTTTTTTAAAAAAAAAAAAATACAGTAGATAAATTCCTTTCTGAAATTTTAAAAAATCTTTTTTGAAAAAAAATTTATAAATTTAAGTTATTATATATTTTCAATATTTATATAATTCTAGAACGAGCCTTTTATTTTATATTTTACAAATTTACAATGCAAAATAAGATGGATTTATCCATATTTTATAACTCAACTTTTCATGACAAAAACACCATAATTCTTCTACCACTTTTCTATGATCTTTCATTTTCGCCAAAGAATTAAAATTATTATTATAAACTCCTCGTAATAGCTCCCATATTCTACTTAAACTATTGACTACTGATATAAAATTCGAATAAAATCCATATTGATCGTTCTTAAAATTTTAACTTCTTCTAATTTTTTTTCTTTTAATAGTTCCTCTTCATATTTGTATACAGATTCTTCACAGCTTTCAAAGTTATTTTATTACATTCTCATAACCATACGTGCTCCCAATCCTCTATCTCCTTCTTACATCTTGATTCCATTAACTTCTAGGACGCTATATGTTGGCAATTCCTTGATGAGATTTTTGATTTTATATGTCCTATCTTTTGAATCTTCGTAACTAAATTGCCAAAATGAAAATTTGTTGCGATTGCTTACGAATTTTAAGGTCCTATACCAATCAAACTCGCATTTAAAGTTAAATAAAAAAGATCTTCCAGCTTTCCACTGTTTAAAATCTCATTCTTCCAAACTGCTTCCGTACACTTCTTTCTCCATCCTCCATAATTACCAGCAATTAAAATTCTTTTCCAATACAAATTGAACTCATTTACCACTAAAGCTTCTTCTATAAATTCTAAAAGAAATATTTGTACATTTTTTTTTGATTAATTAAAAAAATCTAATAAAAAAATAAAATGTTACCCATACTTATTATGTATTCCTTTCTTCTAGCTTCTTTTTGAATTATCAAATCTCTCCTAATTTCTTTTCGTACAATCATCTAAAAATTTCATTTCTTTTACGTCCAAATTCGTTATTCGATTGACATAAAATATCTTCAATAAATAAAACTTCTATGTAATATCACTGCCATTACATATTAGTAATAAACCAACTATCAAGCTTCTCAAAAGAACTTCATATTCGTTACATTTTTGATCTCAAATTTGGCAGTAAATCTTATTTCCTTTCTCTCTTCATTTCCTTCATCTCTTATTATCCAAGTTACTAAATAATCAAAAATTCTTCGTCCATTCCCTAGGTTACCTATTATCTTACTCTTAATTTTTAAACAATCTAAAACTAACCAAAAAACTTTACGTCTTATCCCAAAATCTTCCCTTTCATATATACTATTTTTTAAAATTTCTATAAAATCATTCTCTGCCTTTATTAAATTATCGATCATCTCTATTCTAAAATTAAATTCTCTATCTCTTTTATCTTCTTCTGAATAATTTTTAACCCATTTATTTTTATCAATAATATTACGCAAAGTTTCATATGGTTTTATATTAAATCCTTCTAATCTTCTTTTAATCACTCTAATATTATCTTTTTCTAAATATATTAAACATTTACCTTTTCTTTACCTTTTTTACCAACATTTCGCTCACAACCTTCACATTTAATCAAAAAAGGAGAATTATCCATATCAATTACGTCTTTCCTCGGAACTAAATGTAAACCCAATCTCTTATAATTTTTACTTTGAGATTTCTTTTTATCTTCACCAAAAATTGGTATTCCTTGCTCATCGTTCCAAGTTACTAAACTTTTTTTCGTCACTTTCTCATTTTCATCAAATAATTTCATATGAATTTTTCTCTTATCAAAATTTTTGATTAAATATTTTTCTTTTAATTTTCTCGTTCCCTCTTCCGTAATTTCTTTTTCTATTATCTCAAATCATTTTGGAATTTTACCATTAAAACCTATCTCATTTTCTACACAAAAATGTTCCCATTTCATCAATCTTTCTTGATCAGCTTCTAAAATTTGTTCTAAAAATAAAATTCCCTTCGCTCTCCTTGATGCGGCACTTCTTAATATTTCCCTTTCTGGTAATAAATCTATTCATTGCATATACTTATATCTTCTAATTTTAATAAATTAATTGCATCTCTAATCCAACAATTCTTGCCTTTAAAAGGTTTGCTATCTATATCTCCTATACATTTTGCCGTTCATATTCTCTTTTGCTCTTGTATCATTTTCAATACAGATTATTAACTGGCTGATAAAGAAATTCCCATCCCATACCACATCCCTGTAAAAAATGTTGATCCCGACTGATCCGTGGTTATCTTTCCATGTCTTTTCCGTGAATGTATCATTTCATGGGAATTTTTTGTAGCCTTAAATAAATGGAAATTTTCATCTCTCTAACACGGATATTCGTGAATGTATCATTTTCACGGAATTTTTACGAAAGCCACGGAGAAATAATGGAAATATTCGGATAAAAATTTTTTATAGGGCATAGTTAATGATAATTGCAAATAATAGTAAATATGCCATGATGTCATTTGATTGAAACACTTTAACGAATGGGAGCTAATGTTATCATCACATGCTGGTTAGTGGAAGTCTTCATTTGATTGTAAAATAAAATGGTTTTATTGCTTTATTCCTTCCGAAACCGATTCCATTAACTTGATATTTATCAGTTTTACTCTATTCGCCAGTTTAATTAAATGAAAAAAATTAAATAAAATGATAAGTGAATCAAACTTTTTTTCTTTATTAAAAAAAAAAAATGATTTTGACAAAACATATAAGGATCTGATCTGCCAGTGATCTAATATGATATGTAATATTTGTGACACAAATGCTTAATGCAAATTTAAGCCGATCAATACGGCTGAAATTTTTTTTTTTTTTTTTTTTAAAAATTTTACCTAAAAATGTCTATTCAATTTTTTTCAAAACTAAGTCAAAACTATATTGAAATTTTGGAGGATAATGAATATTATGATGTTACTATTGAAGTTGGTGAGGATCCAAATGTAAAAATATTTCGTGCACATATGATCATTTTATGTCATCGTTCTTCATTTTTACGGAGAACTATAACTTCAAACAAAAAGAATAATGATGTTTTAGCTCATATTAAATTATCAAATATCTCACCAAAAACCTTTCAAATTATTTTAAGGTAAATTAATACATGTCATAATAAGTTTAAAATGTCAAAAGTTTTAATATTTAAATTAATCTTATATTTTATAATATAGGTATCTTTATGGTGGAATTCTTTCATTAAATGGACAAGATACTTTAGATATTTTTAAAATCTTAATTGCCGCTGATGAGCTTCTTCTTCATGAATTAGTTGATTATTTACAAAAACATTTAATTGAGAACTATACCGGGTGGATAGAACAACATTTTGAACTAACATACCGAAAAAGTTTTCAATCTAATAATTTATTAGAACTTCAACAATTATGTACAGATTTAATGGCTAAAACTCCTGAAAAAATATTTAAATCACTTGATTTTACTTCGTTACCAGAAAAATCGATAATATCACTTATTAAAAGAGATGATTTACAAATGAAAGAAATTGAAATATGGGAACATGTATTAAAATGGGGACTTGCACAAAATCAAACTCTCATTTCAGATCCAGAAACTTGGACAGATGATAACTTTAAAATGATGGAAAATACTTTACAAAATTTTTTACCTTTAATTAGATTTTTTAGTTTATCATCTAAAGAATTTTTACACAAAGTGAGTCCATATAAAAAATTTTTAAACCATCAGCTTTATAAAGATTTATTAAATTCTTATATGGATCCTGATATTGAACCAAACAATAACATTCCACTTCCCAGAAAGTTAAAGATAAATAACGTTGTTGAATCAAATATCGTTAATTTAAATATAATTTCGACTATTTCAAGATGGATTGATAAAGTTGATTATAATAATAAATTCTCACATCTGAGAGAATTATATTTACCATACAAATTTGAATTATTATTAAGAGGTAGTCGAAATGGATTTACTCCTAAAAACTTTCATGAATTGTGTGATAATAAATCTAATACTGTTACATTTATTAAAGTTAAAGGAACTGATGAAATTCTAGGTGGATATAATCCTTTAGTATGGAATTCTTCTAGTGATTTGGGTCAATCTTTAGATAGTTTTATATTTTCTTTTAAGAATAAAGATTTAATATTAAGCTATGTAAGCAATATGAATCGTGCAATAAATTATTGTAACGCTTTTGGTCCTTCATTTGGTGTGAATGATCTTATAATATCACATAGTAGTATACTTAATGATAAGAGTCCATTTAATTATAATAGATGTAAACAAAAGAATTATGAGAAGAGGATAAGAGATACTGAAGATAAATTTGATATAGAAGATTACGAGGTATTTCAAATCATGAAAGAATAAGAATATATTTCAAATGAGTGTCATTTATTTTATGTTTAATTTATTTAAATTACACGATAAAATTTTTATCTTAAAATTAATAAAGTCATAAAAAAGGGGTTTTTTGCCATTGTATACGAAACATATTACTACTCTAGTCTTAGTGTTTAAGATAATTGAAAATAAAAAAAGTAAGGAGAATGAACTTTAAATATAGTAAAAGGATTTGGTAATATAGCTGTTTTTTAAAATCAAATAATATTTATCATTTAATAAATCCTTCAATCCTCGGGTAATTAATGAAGATTATAGATTGTTACATATTTCATCTCCATATAAAAAAAAAATTTATTATTATAGGAATATATTTTATATTTTGAAATTAGTTCTTCGGAATTCGCAATTATTAAAAATCGTAGTAAAAACTCGCATAAACAAACACCGTTTAATTATAGATTACATAAGTTCATCGGAGTTTAATTGAATCATATATTAAAATGTGCTAAATACACTTGAATATATACTTTTAAACAGTAGATTAAATCAGAACAAATATTTGTATCTTAATGAATATGCCATCTTTCTCGAATTTAATAAAATAAAGTAAGAACGTTAGTTTTATATTAATTAATGAACATAATTAAAATAAAATATTGAGAATTTTCTTTTGCGAAAAAAAAAGATATTAATTTTTTGAGATAAATTTTTTTACGAAAAGAGAAAGGGTAATTTCAAAATGGAAAGTGATTTCCTTTTCTAGTAAGGATGGTTAGTATACTAACACAAGGTTACTCACAATTGTGGTGTAATGGCGTAAAATTCTTGAATATCTAGAGGAAGATAAAATATTTTACATTCATGTTTGTTAGTTAATCGTATTTGGTGTTAGTTCTATTAGAATTTTAGAATTTTAATACAAGATGCGGAGATTGAGAATTTTTAACCACATAAAAAACGTACAATATCATGATGAATGTCCAATAAATGTCAAGTAAATGTTCGGAACGGGTCGATTGTCCGAACGAAAAAACCGAGCAATGTTTTAACAATATTTTTTATAGGGAATTCATTTAATTCATTAGAAGGAAAGTGTTTAGTTACAAACGAAATTATCAAAATGTTTACAAATCAAATTTCTTTGAAAAATTGATCTATCATTGTAATACATTTTTCTTTATTAACTTTCCTTTCACTTATTTCCCTGGGACGAGATCTTTAATAAGAATTATATTGCAGTTCAAATCTTCCTTCTAATTTTTTTTTATTTATTATCACAAACTTGTCACAATCTACAATCAATTTCTAAAGATTTTCGAGGAAATTTCAAAGGGTTAAGCGAATTAATCTCTTTACAGAATAATTTAAAAAATTTAACTTTGAGATCTTTTTATGCGAGTTGGATCAATATTACATCTGATTTAACAAAACACTCTAAAACAATAACTAAATCACATCTTTTTACTAATTATAGCGAAGTATCTTTTCTCTCCTTTTCTCAAAAGAAAAAAACATTGCTGATTTTTTAAAAAAAAGAATTTTATCGCAGAATCTCGAAATTTTTTTTCAATATAAATTTTACGTTTACTTTTGTATGTCGACAATAACGCAAACGTCACTATACTTGCCACCCATTTAAATGGGCTGGGACTCCCATCTTTATCATTCATACTCAAATTTACAAAAATTATATATTCATTTGTAACCCTTACAGAAAGTAAAGCTTCTGTTTGAAATTCATAGCAAGATTCGAATATTTGAAAGTTTTTAAAATGTAGATTCGAATATGATTCGACTCTCACCTGATATTCGAATCTAAAACGGATATTCGAATCTCAAATGGATATTCGAATCTCATGTGATTTTGAATTTATTAATATTTACATTTTTTTTATAGTAACTTCGTATTTCGCAAAAAATTTTATTAAAAATTATATTACAAAATATCAAGCAAATTTATATTTCTCTTTAAAAAAAATTGGTTTTTCTACTTTATATTTGAATCACATGGCATATTCGAATCTATGTAACACATTCGAATCTATATAGCATATTTGAATCTACTGGCATATTCGAATCTACGTGACACATTCGAATCTACTGGCATATTTGCAAACGAATATTCGAATATTCTAATTTCAAACGGAAGCCCTACTTTGAAGATTTCTAAATATTTACAGTATATTAATTATCTTTATTACAAACTTTAAAATTTTCTTTTCAATGTCCAAAACCTGAGTACATTATTAAATTTTTAAAAAATCTCTATATGTATATATGTAATATTGCTTTAAGTTTAACAATTGCTAATTTTTGTTCTCGATAGTGACCATTCCGTTTTTACAGACTGGCAACGAATTCGTATACAAGAAAATCCTAACGAAATACCAACTGGATGTATGCCTCGAACGTGAGTTGCAATTAAAATAAAAATATTAAATAGTGCTTTCTCCAAATCTTAAAATCTTTTTTTGTAAACTTTAAAGATGATGAATTAAATATGTTAAAAACTATACTTATTAGTTGTCATTTCTTAGAAATTATTCAAATTTTATATGGAGAAAGTTACTTAGATAAGGAAGTATTAGAAACTATTGTGAATTATTCAAATAATTTTTGCGAATTAAAAAATACATTATATTTCAATACTAGACATGCCTTCGAATGGAAAAACAGATCATCAAAAAAATACTTTATTTTTTAGTTAAATATTGTGCTTTATTATAATTATAATGATTTAGGATATAAAATTATGAAAATAATTAAAAAAAATATGAACGTTTAGAGATATAGATAAAGAAGAAGAATTAGATGAATATCATTATTATTAGCTTTTATATATATTAATTGTTTCTATTAAGAAATAAGAAAACTAGGATTAGAGCTTAACATTATAACATAACGTTTACTGCTTTGTCATAATAAAGTATTATTCTATTTTTTAATAAAAAAAAAAAAGAACCCTCCAATGAAATGAAATAAAAGTTTCATATTTTAATCTGATATGAAAATCTAAAAATTTAATTCCAATGATCCAAATTACTGATAATGTGTCATTTGGGTCATTTCTGACAAATGACCTAGTCATTTTAACAATTATATATAATTATTTAATCACATTGACATCAGTATTAGTTATGATTACATATATAATTACAGATATTTATTTCAATTTTACATAAATTGAGTTTAATTACCAAATTTTTTTTTTTTAAAAAAAATGGCTTATCAACTTGTAGATGATTGCTTAAATGAAATTTTTGAATATTTAAAGAAAGATAAAAATACTTTACATTCATGCTTGTTAGTTAATCATCATTGGTGTAATGTTTCTGTTAGAATTTTGTGGAGAGATATTTGGAGCTACAAAGTTATTGATCATAATAGAGTGGAATCATCAATTCTTAGTACATTATTTGCTTGTCTTCCTAGTAAATCAAAAAAAATCTTACAAAATAATAAAATTTTCATTTCACCACCTACTTCAAAATCACCACTATTCAATTATCCTGAATTTTGTAAAGTTCTTTCAATTAATAAAATTCATAAAATAGTTTTAAATGACTTTAAACCACCTAATAATAACATTAAACATAAACTATCTAATAATAAACAACCATTAAAGTATAGTAGAAAACAAATAGTCATAAATGAAATAATCAAAATGATTTCAAATCAAACTTTGAAAAAATTGATCCATAATAATAATAAATATAAACCTAATATTAATTTCAATTATTTTTCTGGATTAATAAATCTTTCAGAATTAAATTGCAATACAAACCTTCCTCCTGATTTTTTTTATAAGCTTTCCCAAATATGTCACAACTTACAATCAATTTCTATAAAATTTTATAATCATGATGTTTCAAATGAGTTAAAAGAATTAATCATTATGCAGAATAATCTAAAAAGTTTAACCTTGATAGCTTTTAATAATTCATCTTGGGAAAATCTTTTACCTACTTTAACAAAATACTCTAATACAATAACAAAATTACACCTTTTTAATGATGATGATTATGATTACTATTTACCATTATTATCATTTGTCAAATCATTCTCAAATTTACAAGAAATTATATTTTCATTATTGAATTTTATAGATTTTGAACAATTGCAAAATACTAAATTTCCCAAATTAAAAGTTTTGAAATTTCCTGATCAACATCCAGATTCTGAATATATGATAAAATTTTTGGAAAATAATGGAAAAAATCTTAAAAAGTTTTATTCATGTCAAAATGGAGATACTTTTAATTTATCTATTTCTAAGTTTTGTCCAAATCTTAAAAGTCTTTTTATAAGTCCTGAAAGAATTAGTATATTAAAAACTATACTCGAAAATTGTCAATATTTAGAAAGTATTTAAATTAAATGTGGACCATATTTAACTAAAAAGGAAATATTAGAAACCATTGTAAATTATTCACCGAATAATTTTTGTGAATTAAAAATATGCAATTTCGTGCTTTTTGATTATATATATCCAAAAGATTTAGAATCATTTCTCATGAACTGGAAAAGTAGAGTATCAAAAAAATTACTTTCTTTAATAATTATTAAAAGTGAGAATTATTATAATAATGATTTTGAAGATGATAATGAAAATATAAAATTAATTAAAAAGTATGAAAGTTTAGGTGTTATTAAATTTGAGATTAAAGATTATAAAGATATAGAAAAAGAAGAAGTAGATTATTATAATTAAGCTTTTATGCATTTTATTTGCTATAAATTTGAGAATAAATATTAATTTAGGATTAGTAAGATTAAAATAATAAAGTAAAGTATTGTCTAAAAAATGATCGAATGAGTTTTTAGTTGAAAACCTCTAATGAAAAAAAGATTCTTTGGTATATAAAAAATCTGATTCTTAAAGCATAATGCAAAAAAGTTAGTTATTCTAAATATTTAATTATAAGATATGAAACAAAAATTTTTTAATATTTTAATATTGTCAACTTATGAATTTTAATACATTTTAGAATAAAATAAAGAAAATCTTTTGTTAAAATCTCTCAGTATAGAATCAGTATTTTCCTTTATTAAAATGCCAAGTCTAAGCAAATTAATAAATTCATAGAACTAGTTAACAATGTATGCATTTAATTAGATAATTATTATCATTTATTTATTTACTTTATTCACAAATTTACAAGAAACCAAATTTTTATTCAAACCTTGGACATTATTAAAAATTAGATAATGTTTAAGTTAAAAGTATTCTTTTAAATTGTTGCATAACTTTTACAGTGAATTAAAGTAACATAATTTACATTCATATACTTTGCAATCTGGGATTTGTAATAATATGATTATAGTATATATTAAATAACAGTAGATAATTTTTATACATGATCATAAAATCTCTTTTTAATTTCTTTAAAATTTCTAATAAGATGTATGTGCTTTTAAAATAATAAATAGTCAATTTTACAATGTAATACCATTGAAGTATCATCAAAATTGGATTGTAGTAATAATGATGGTATTTCTTCTGGGCTAGAACATTTGGTATCTATATATAGCTAACGCTGCATAAATGCATAACATTGAAAAACTGGTTGGATTCTTTAATCTAATTTAAAAAGTACGTGGTTTATCTTTAGGTCTTTGAAGGCAGTGTTAATTGTATGTTAAAAGAATCCTATATTGCAATTTATCATCAACTAAATACCCAAAAATTTGTCATATAATGTCAACAACAGAAGTATCTTTACCAGAGCTTAGAAGTGCTATTTCACTGTTCTTTCTTTTCAAATATTCTTCATAACTTTCATCATCACTCAAATATAAAATTCAGTGAGTTTTTGCAGCTTGCAGCAACTCAGCATCATAATGGATAACTCTCTTGTCTAATAATAACTTTCCAATTCACTTATAAATAAAACCAGGATCTCTAATAACACAATCCTTCTTTGATATCTGCTTGAAATCTCTATCAGCTGTTCTGAAGTTGTGATAATATGTAGATTGTTTAATATGTTGTTCTTTAATATTACTCCTCCACTTTGATATAACTTTTATTATATTTTTTTAGATATACTATTATTTAATGCTGTCATCAAATTCTTAATACTTGATTTGGTGGTTATGTGCTCTTCTTTAAATAGTTTGGTAATAAATAGATATTTTTCTGTGTGAGAAAGAAATTGTTAGCAGTGCATCTTCCAACAGATCTTTACAATAACAAGTTAAGACACCTGAAAAGAGAGTTTGGAGTGGATATCAAGTGTGTTAAATTCAGGTAATTCTTCTAAGTAACCTGCCAATAGTGGATCAACTTAATATTTAACCAATACTTTCTGAAAGTTACCCTTCCTTTACAAAATAAAAAAAATGCAATCAAAAGAAATTGTATACAAATTTTCCTTTATTTAGTGGTGTTAACAGCTTTATTAAAATATTCCACTTTGATACCGAGATCTCCAACCCTTTGGTTATTTGAACCTACTTGATTGAAGTTATATGGAATTGAAACCTCATCTAGTACTTTTGTTCTGATAATGCTGCTGAAATCACCTGCTGATCAAATGTGTGGCACACCATCTGACTTTATTTATATACTGCATCAGGCTAGTGTTGATGTTCAACATAAACTAATGTTTTGATGTCAGTTCCTAAAGAAAGTACATAGCTATTTTCTCCTTTAGAATTAACAAATCTTTACCAACAACAAAGATAGGGCACCTGGATAGATAGATTGGAGTGGATACCAAACATTTTGGATCTCTTAAGTAACCTCCAGTAACTTTGGTAAACTGTTCAGCTTTGTATCCAACCAACACAAATCTCAAGAGCCAACATAGGAGTTATCCTTTCTTTGCAAAATATAAAAAACACACCCTCTTTCAAAGACTCTTATTCTTTTCAACCAATAACTTTTCTGCCTCTAAAAATCAACTAGTACTCAAGATTATCAAGAGTTTAAAGAGGTCAATTCAACATTTTCATCATTTCATTTCTTTAGAAACCTTTGATATAGCAGTTGGAGTAATTCTCCAAATAAGAGGTGAGTGGTGAGTACTAAGAGAAAAAGCATTAGATACTATAAAGACTGAAAATCTTTTATCATGTTAAATGACATTTGCAATATTTCCCAGGATGGACAGAATATTGTTTGTAAGTACTCATGGCTGATGTTAACTATTTTTTCAGTATTAGTTGCCCCTTCGTTTTTTTGGACCTAGTAAGTTTATTGCACCAAAACTCTTTAATGTGAGAAATCTGTGAGAAATCTTTGCAACAAAAAATAAGAGTTTCTATAAAATATTATTATTTGTTAAGTTTAATTATAAAAATTAACCAATACAACATGTCAAAAATATTAAATTGTTTAAGCTTGAGCTTTTGTAACTCTAACTGCTAAATAGAACGTAAAACTTCATCATGTTAGGGTGTTGCAAGAAGCTGCCTCATTTTAATAGTCCATGAAAAATTAGAAGCACATGACGATCAGATACACAAAGGGCATTAAGGATCGGTTGTATATAAGGACTAATAGAATTATAAATATTGAATATTTTGTACGTATGCATGATATAAATTCTATTTAAAGCGTAACGTATAAGCGAAAATGTTGACTGTTACAGGCCTCGTATAAGTCTTGTAACCTATCCATAAAGGGTCATAAAGGGTCCTTGTTGTACGTTTGATTGTTTTCTAAATTAAATTTTCCAGTTTGTTGATTTTAATTCATTGCTATATCTGATATAATGAAAAAAATTTTTTTTATAAGAATATGTTCTTCATATTTACTTCTATTTCTTAATCACAATTATTATTAAATCAAAACTTATAATTACTATACTATACAAGCGATATAAGCAAATTACAAATATAAGAAAAATACAGATATATAACTTTCTTAATGTGAGTTTACGAATTGAAATTCAAAATTGGCAAAATTGGTATAGAGTAATGAAGTTGTTTTTATTGCAAGTTCATTAATCCCTATAAGAAATATGTATACGGAAAGGATACGTTTTGTATACATTTTATGTACGTTTCTATAGATTCCGTATACAAATTCCGTATATTTAATAAGCAATTCATTTTTGAACATTTTTTAAAAAAACTAATGTATACGGAAAAAATTAATCATACGGAATGTATACGGAATTTTTAAACTTAATATTTTTAGAAAGATGTGTATAAGAGACAGTTCATACTCAAATTTACAAAAATTATATATTCATTTGTAACCCTTACAGAAAGTAAAGCTTCTGTTTGAAATTCATAGCAAGATTCGAATATTTGAAAGTTTTTAAAATGTAGATTCGAATATGATTCGACTCTCACCTGATATTCGAATCTAAAACGGATATTCGAATCTCAAATGGATATTCGAATCTCATGTGATTTTGAATTTATTAATATTTACATTTTTTTTATAGTAACTTCGTATTTCGCAAAAAATTTTATTAAAAATTATATTACAAAATATCAAGCAAATTTATATTTCTCTTTAAAAAAAATTGGTTTTTCTACTTTATATTTGAATCACATGGCATATTCGAATCTATGTAACACATTCGAATCTATATAGCATATTTGAATCTACTGGCATATTCGAATCTACGTGACACATTCGAATCTACTGGCATATTTGCAAACGAATATTCGAATATTCTAATTTCAAACGGAAGCCCTACTTTGAAGATTTCTAAATATTTACAGTATATTAATTATCTTTATTACAAACTTTAAAATTTTCTTTTCAATGTCCAAAACCTGAGTACATTATTAAATTTTTAAAAAATCTCTATATGTATATATGTAATATTGCTTTAAGTTTAACAATTGCTAATTTTTGTTCTCGATAGTGACCATTCCGTTTTTACAGACTGGCAACGAATTCGTATACAAGAAAATCCTAACGAAATACCAACTGGATGTATGCCTCGAACGTGAGTTGCAATTAAAATAAAAATATTAAATAGTGC